TCTTCTTCCTAAGGAATAGCGGTCACAGAGGGTCGTGCTCCTGTGGGTCTTTCTCCAGTTTGTGATCGGCACGTTAGCAACTACCTAACGCAGGGTGCCAGCTTTCTTGACAGTAGTTCTCCTTCTTTTGAGAGTGGTGATTGGTTCAGTTCGTGTTGTTCTACAACTTCGGGATCATGTCAGATAACAAGGATGGTTCGTCAATCCCAGCCTGGGATGGCTCAGCTCGCTCGTGGAGACGCTACACCCGAGAGGTCAGTTGGTGGGTCCACAGCACCCCTGTTCACAAGAGGCGTTACTGTGCATCGAGGTTGCTGTCCCGACTCACTGGACCTGCGCGGCTTCTGGCGATGAGCTGGAGCAAGGTTGGTTTTGACGCTCCTGACGGTGTGAAGAAATTCCTCCAACGACTTGCTTCAAGTCCTCTTGTACGCAGATCCCTGCCCAATGCTGCGGCCATCTGTCAGCAATACTTTGGCTTCAAACGCAATCAGGGTGAATCCATTCAGAACTTTCTTGTTCGCGAGACTTTGATGCATGAGGAGTTTGTGGAGGCATTGATTCGTCTCCATGAAGACAAGGTCGGTGTCAGTCAGGCCGATCGAGACTTTGGGCTTCCTACGGACTCTGAGTATGACTACGACTGGAATTCCTACCACTGGAACAGCTGGTGGACTGGGGACGCTTGGGAAGAGGAACCAGAGAATCAAGGTGAAGAAGATCTTCCAGAAGTACCTGTACCTCCTGGAGACCACGAACGTTTTGCCGAAGATCATCGTTCAGGGGCTCCTGGAGAGCGAGTTCCTGGCACAACTGGTTCATCCCCTAGCCATCAGCATGAGCCAAGTCAACGAGGTGACCGTGATCGAGCCCCGTCTGTACCAGAGGCTGATCCGGATGCCAAGCAATTGCCACAGCCCTTGGACGAGCTCACACTTGCAGATTCGTTCATCTTGGACGTGCTTCGAGGCTGGCGACTTCTTCAGGCTGCCGGACTATCTCATGAGGAGAAGCGTGACATCTTGAGCACCACCAAGAACAGCTTGGACTACTCCGTTATCTCCTCGGCTCTTCAAGGTCTATGGGACGATCAACTTCTTGGACAACGGCATCAAGGCTCCCATAACCTGCACTACCTCAACGGTACGGATGAGTTCCAGGCGTACTACCAGGATGATTCTTGGTGGAATGAAGATGAAGATGGTTGGTGGTTCCAAGGATACTCGGCTGAGGACGGCTACGATGATGATTGGTGTTGGAACGAGCCTCTTCTTGCCAGTGGTGATCCTGAAGGCATGTACACGGCCTCCGTGTCTTCTCCTCCTGAAGATCCAGAAGCTACAGATCGCATCAAAGAGGCTCAAAGGGCAGAGCAAGTGGCTGAGAATCTTGCTGCCGAAGCCCATCGTACTTGGACTGAGGCTCAGAGGGCCACTGCAGCTCTCAAGCGAGATCGTGGCTTTGGGGCTGTCATGAGTAAAGGTGGTCCCCCCATGCGATGCTACAATTGTGGTGGCAACCATCTTGCGCGAGATTGCCCGGATCGTCGAGCCCCTGGACCCAAAGGCTATGGTGGCAAGTTCCACTCCTACATCCTGGATGACTATGACGCCTACTACTTCGGCAAGGGCAAGGGCAAAGGGAAGGGCAAAACCAAAGGCAAGCGTGCCAATTGGATGGAAGCGCAAGCATGGTTCAAGGGCAAGGGCAAGCACAAGACTAAGGACTCCGGCAAGTCGGTGAACGCCTACAATGCTGATCTCTTCGCTGGTGGCCTCGAACTGAGCGAGGGACTGGAGCTTCACGCTTCTACCTCAGAGCCTGTCCCACAGCATCAAGGAATGCTTGATTGCGGGGCTACCGCTTCAGCCGCACCTGAGGCCGTAGTCCAAGGCCTCATTGGTGCCGTTTTAGCTTGTGACAAGTCAGCGAAGATCGAACTGGACCAAGCTGCGCGACCATACTTTAGGTTTGGCAACGGGCGATGGGGTCGAGCTCTTTGTAGGGTGCATATCTCCAGCAAGGTCTCGGGACAAGAACGTACGTTCTCCCTGTACACGCTTCCCAATCCTGTTGAGTACTATCAGTCCAATTTCGACAAGCAGACTTTAGTTCCTGTTTTGGTTGGCATGGACTTTTTGGGCAAGAATGGCAGTGGTGTTTTGATAGACTTTGGCACGGGCTTGGCTATGTGCACTCGAGATGATAATCCAGAAATCTTCCAGATGCATGTGAATGCCAAGGGCCATTACGTCTATGACATCGTGCACCACCTAACTCGAGGTTTCTCATGCAAGGACGGCAATGCCCATGTGATAGTACGTCACCCCAAAGTTGATGATTCCTTGTCCATGTCCCATCAGATGCTTGAGCTTTGGACCGCTTGGGTAGACTTGACAGTGAGTGACATGGAGCTGAATGAGCGAGAGCTGGCTGTATCCCGAGATCGTCTCTGGAGAGTGTATCGTGAGGGTCATGTGACTGCTGCCGATTCAGCTGTACCAGCTCAAATGTTTGGACCTAGTGTCTCAGCCTTCCCGACATCATCGTCTTCAAGTTCTCATGGCTGCTTCTCGCGCATCGCGTCCGGAAGCCACCCTCGACCCCGAGCAGGAGAAAATCCTCACAGCTGCTCTCAAGGCCAAAGCCCGGCCGAAGCAGCGTGCCAGATCCCTGGACAAGTCCCGTGCAATGAACCTGGACCCTCGCGATCCTCGAGCATCGACCAACCAGTGGCCTTGCTACAACAAGCATGTTCCGGACAAGCCGATGTCGAATGCGCACGGCCAGTGGGTCCATTGTCGAGTCTGCGACCTACGTCTCCTTTATATCCCGAGGAAGGGAGCTCCTGCCACCAACACGGCCACCGTCAATGCCAACATGGTGCAGGAGATGCTGGACGAGCTCCACGCCCACCTGGGTGCTCTGAAGCCAACGGCAACCATATGCCGCCACGGCATGGCCAAGATTGCGGCGGACCATGTTCTTCGGGATGCCATTGCCCAACTTCGAAGCCAGCATCCAACGACACCGGGGACAGCTTCAACGAGCCCATCGCCTCCGTCAACAGCGTGGGGCGTGGTGGAAGAGGAGGAGCTGATCTCTGCCATGGAGGCCGAGCGGGACCAACATCAGTGAATAAGCTCAAAACTTTGACCAGCTCATCCACCACTTCGACCCCGCTCTTCATGGCAAAGAAGGTCATGGCTCTCCTGACTTTGATGGCAACTACGGCTTCATCGCTACTTCTTGGACTTCACTTGAGTGACCGTGATGGGCTATGGGAAGTTGCTTGTGGACCTCACTCTTGGCTTTCTCAAGCAGCTGAAGAACATGGACTACGCCCTCGGCGCATCAACGTGGCCAATGGCTATAATCTGTACGACAGGTCCACCTGGGATCGTCTGAGAGACCTTCGTCAACAGCGCCGCCCCAGAAAAATCTGGATCTCTCTTCCTTGTACCAAATGGTGTGCTTGGACTGTGGTCAACTTCAACACACCTGCCCTCATGGAGAAGCTGGAAGAACAACGACGGCGAGAGCGCCGGATGATCTGGATGGTTGTCGCCTTCCTTAAGGAAACGATCGAAGAGGATCCCGATGTGGACATCTATTGGGAATGGCCTTGGCCCTGTCAAGGCTGGAAGCAGCGCCCTCTTGAAGAGCTTGAATCCTTCTTGGAAAAGCGACAACTTGATTGGCTTCCTTGCCGTGTGGATGGCTGTGTGTACGGCATGAAGGACCGACATGGTGCCTTTCTTCGAAAGAAGTGGATGATCAAGACGACCGATGACAAGTTCCATCGAGTCTTCAGGGCGAAGACGTGTTGTGGAAATCACGGCCAACATGGCGCCATTGAAGGCCAAGAGACGGAGAAGTCGGCCTACTATCCATGGAAGCTTGTCCAAGCTTGGACTCGTCATTGGAAGGAGCAGCTCACTCCCGAACGGCATCTTCGACTTCTTTCCCTTCGTGATGATTGCTCCTTGGAAAATGAGGATGATAACGTCTCGGCAGATTATGTGATTTCTGAAGACTGCGAGGCGCTTGAGGAGTATGAGGGTGACTTCATGACTTGTGATGAATCTGGAGACTTGACGGCTTGTGAGCAAGTCAGTGTGGAGTCACTTGCTTCTGAAGCCTTCCAACATCAAGACTTTTCTATGAGTACGTGCAAGTTCATCCTTGGCGAGTTCTGTCGGAATTTGGCCACGGCCTCTCCTGGTCCAGAACATCATCGATGGAAGATGCCAAACACCTCTGCCTCTGTTTTTGGCGCGTTCTCACACGGGGCCTTTCATGGTGTGACAAAGGCTTCCAATCGACATGCGTCTTTGGTGAAGTTTGTCAACGCTTATCTGCGACACCACCTTCCTGGTCAAACGTGGTCGAGCTTCATGATTACTTGGAATGGAGTCGCTCAGCCACATCGAGATGTTCATAATATGAAGGGCACTCTCAACGTCGTGCATGGTCTTGGGAGCTACTCCGGAGGTGGTCTGTGGCTTTGTGGCAAGCCACCACTTGGCCAACCGGTGGTTCGGAGGCGAGGTCTGGATGGATCCTATCTCCAGGGCTATGTGGAGAATACCTTCGAACGCTTTGTGGTGTTTGATCCTTCCACTATTCACGCCTCACAGGCCTTCCAGGGCTCGCTCATCATGCTTTCGGCATACACCACCCGGATGCTTCCACACTTGTGTCGTGAGGATCGTCAAAATTTGCGAGACCTTGGCTTCCCGTTGCCGAAGTCCTCAACCTCCTCGTCGACCTGGGCGGCACCGGCTGTGATTGACTCCTCTCCGACTTCCCTAACCCTGGAGTCGGTCTCTTCTCAAGATCGTGCCCGTTGGGAAGCACAAGTTGCAAAGTTCCACAAGGCAGCTGGCCATCCCACTAACCGGAACCTTGCCAAGATTGTCAAGGATGCGGGTCATGAAGACTGGAAGGTGGAGATTGCCTTGAAGTATGATTGTCCTGCTTGTAAATCCTTGAAACAAGGCGGCACATCCTCAGGTCAGATACCTCCTGTGGCCACTCACTCGACATATGCTGCATGGCAAGCGGTGGGTGTTGATTCTGGTGAGTGGGTGCCTCCTGGATCTAAGATCAAGGTCAAGTTCCTCCTGTTTATGGATGTTGCGACCAAATTGCGGGTCGTTTGTCCTTTGTTCACCTATCCGTTCTTGGAAATGCGCACAGAGTCAGGCCAGGACCTCATCTCTGGCTTTACGGAGCACTGGATTGCACACTACCCTCGGCCCAAGGTGATCATCCTAGATGCTGCAAAGAGCTTTGTGTCGGATGCTGTGCATGAGTTTGCCAGCAGCTTGAATATTGGGCTTTCCTTTGTCGCCGAAAAGGAAGCTTGGGCTCACGGAGTGATTGAAGCTGGAGTACAAGATCTGAAGATGACTGCTTCCGCTATCCACTTGGATGCTCTCACACAGAATCCGTATGTCACACTGTGGTTGGCGACCTCCTCCTTGAACGCCACCGAGTTTACGGCTGGATTTTCGTCGTTTCAGTGGGCCTTTGGAAGTCAGTACAATCTGTCGGACGAAGACGTACGCACCTTTGCCAGTGCCAACTGCCCTGACAACTTCACAAAGTTGGTCACGGCTAGGGAGCAGGCCCAAGCTACTGCCCTCAAGACCCGTGGTCGTCGAGTTTTGTCCAAACTGGCCAACTCTACGGTACGACAACCTCTCAAAACCTTTGCTGCGATGGATTTGGTCAAAATTTGGCGGCGTGTATGGCCCAAGGAACAGCATCAAG